TTTCCTTATCTAAAGACTAGGTAGTAGAATCCTGAAAGACTAGCTAGAAAGACTTTTGTGGATTGCTTTGAAGTGTAGCAGGTAAAAAACTTGACTAGCTCTAAAACAGGCAACCTGGATGGATTCCCACATCTAAAGCCAGACAGTAGGAAGTTTGAGTAATTCTGTAGAAGCTGAATAGAAGGCCACGTGAGATAGTAGAGTGATGAGATTTGGGTTTCCTCCCTCCGGCAGTGAGAGAGACTTTGCAGAAACAGCCCTTTTGCCTTTATTGATCAGCCAGTTGTCAAGTCACTTTTGACTTCGGAGGAATTTCTCACCCTGGTGCAGTCTTGCTCGGCAGGGCAGACAGGCCTTCTGCGGCTGAGGCAATCCAATTGTAAGCTGAAAGTTGCTCAGAATAGTTTGATATTACGATTATACAAAAAAAAGGAGGTCACAGCATAAGTTAGCGAGGAAAGTCTGATTTTTCAGAGCTTTTTCGAGCTACCCGGAATCTGTCAGACAATAGACGTAGCATAGCTTGTGTCAGTGTTCGTGGGTCCAGGAAAACCGGACCGGTGGGCTTGCCAGGAACAGCAGCCTGACCTCCCCCTCGGCGTCGTCCCTGAAAGTGAGTGGCGCGAGGGCTCTTCCGCAGCCGCCCTTTCTGCAGGCGATGCCACGTGGATGTATTTGGTCATTTCCGTCATCTTGCAAAATGACTTTGCAAATACTGAGGCAGTGAAAGGGCCATTGCAGAGCGGTGGTGAGACGCCACCTGTTCCATGCACACCACATCGCAGGTGTCCACCACGTGGCTGGTAACGGCACTGTCCGTCGGCGCGTGTTGAGCGGCCGCACCTGCTGCCCGCCACGTGCCCCGGGGCTCATCCTGTGCACACTCGCTGCTGACTTCAGAAGGGGTGTTGTCACCTGGTTGGTTCCATTTCTCCTCCCCAGAGGCTCATGGCCAGGCAGGGGAGCGGGGCTGGGTGGAGCCGCTTAGCCCAGGGCGCCACTCTGTGTGTGTGCTCATGTGCACACGGGGTGCTCACGCGTGTGCCGATGCGCATGGCCCGGGAGGGGCCTGTCGTGTGTGTGGGCCTGGTGACGTGTGTTCACACACTGTATGCTTGTGTGTGCGTGGACACACACACGTGCGCTGTGTGCTCCTGTGAACATGTTAGCCTTGCACTGTGCGTCCTGTAGCTACGCATTGTTCGGGGCGCTGAACTGGATCTCTGGGATCTCTGGGGTGTACTCGGCGTCCTCGGAGCAAAGGACAAGAGGGTTTTGGGTGAGCAGCCGCTTTGTGCGGGGCCGAGCAGTGCAGTTTTTGCAGCCCCGATCTCTGAGTCTCCTAACACGCACGCACTGAGGCCCACGGCGGTGCTCGTGGCTGATGCGCCCAGAGTGGGGCCCAGGAGGACCCTGGCCGGTGCTGGCCCGCGGGGTCTGCTTTCTCTTTCCTGCCTCCATTGTTCTCATTATTCTCAGCGCGGCTACATTTCGAAGTCGCAGCAGTGGGGCTGCAGTCTTTCTTGCTCACGCGCACAGGAGGGTTTGGGCTCGGCCAGGTCGAGCTGGCGCGGCTCCCGCTCGTATCCCCAAGCCTCGCCGCTCGCCTGTCCGGAGGCTTCCGAGCTCCTGTCTCCAGACACGCGAGGTCTGCGCCCCGGGGCTCTCAGTTCTGCCCAGGATAAAGGGAGAGAGGCCAGATGTGATTTTCATTAACCTCCCTGATTGGCCAGAGAGAGGGAGTTTTCATAATAGAAATGAGAACTCCTAAACGGAAAAGTTTATCTTAGTATGTAGCAACAGCTATGCTTTTCAGAGCGGGCGCTGGGTGTGGGCAGAAATATAAATAGCGGGAGACGCAGACCTAGATGTGGGTAGGTGCAGACATATCGTAGATCGAGGTGGGCATGCACGTGCCCTGGAGAGAAGTTTTTCTTTGTTTCCCTCTCTCAGATCCAGCAGGGACGCTACTGGCCCGAGGGGGCCTTGCTGACACCCGGAGCGGTCATGCGCCCCCACTGCGGCCCCCCACCTGCCCCCACCTCCTCATGAGGCGGCCGAGTCCCCTCCAGACTTCAGGCCCCCTGACCACAGCTGTGTCTGCCTTCCTGCTCACGCCCCTGCGCTGGGGGAGCCCCTGGCTCTCAGTGCGCCTCATGTGGATGGGCATCAAGGTCATCCCAGAACACCCTACCCTGAAGTATTAGTGCATCCTCGTACTTGCGCCCCAGAATTGTAAGTCACGCTGGCGGGGGCTCCGTGGACAGTCTGTCGTGGCCATTCTCGTTGGCCCCCAGCCGCCACTCCCCCGGGCTCCGCTCCTGGGTGCAGCTTCCGGGAGGCCTGCTCAGGGCCCAGGTCGCGCAGGCCGAACCGTTCACGTTAGCACAAATGCCCGGCGTTCGTGGTTGCAGTGGGCCTCGCTCGTCCCTGTCTTTTGACCTCTTGGAGGACATAAGTCATGCAGAGAATCCTGTACTGTATCGATCTCATTGTCTTTCCCAAGAGAACGTTCAAAGAAATGGTCGCTCCCGGCTGCCAGACTGTCTGCTGGAGGCTTCTCCACCCCAAAGCCCTTTCGCCCGTCGGCTTATTTAATATTTACGACACCCTCGCGGTGTGCTGACCGCAGCCCCAAGGAGCCCGGGGCTGGCTTGCCAAGGGCAGGCCACCGCTGGGCCTTGGTGCTGTGCGTGGTGGACGCCGCATCCAGGCCAGTTGGGCTGGGGACGGCAGCTGGGTCTGCGGTTCCTGGGGGGACCCGCGGGCCACGGGGAGTGTGCAGGCCGCAGACCAGAATCCACACGTTTACCCAACTAGAAGGACAGTCGTGATGCGAAGTGGACGGAGTCCCAGCCTACGCTTGTACCCGAATGATCTAGCACCTGCCCTGGGAGAGACTGTTAGGGGTCACCTCGCTTCACAGATAAGGACACAGGGGCTACCTCATTTAGTCACAGACAAGGAAACTGCGTGACCCGGCTGGCGCTTGGGGGCGACGGCGTGCAGCTTGCACCTGCGCAGCGGGTCTTGAGAGGTTTCAGCTGACGCAGCTCAGCTTTCCCGCGGGGCCACCGCCCTGGGGCCCACCCCTCTCCTCCGTGTCCCTACTTTGAGTGAGTCCCCAGGAACCTCAGCACCCCTGGGCAGCCTCTTCCTGCACCAGAGGCCCGCTCTCTGCCTCTGTCTGCGCCCCCGGGGGCAGGCTCAGCGCTCCCCCAGCCACCCCGCCGTGCTCCCCGAGATCGGCCTCCGGAACTGCCTCCTGCCTGCACCTCCCACCGAGCCTGCTCCCAGTCTGTCTACTGCCTGCTTGCTCACGGTTACGCCTCCAAAGTGCTCCTTTACGCTTCCGCGTGCCTCCCCGTGTGCACCTGCACGTTCTTCCTGTTTTTTTTTTGTTTGTTTGTTTGTTTGTAAATCATAGGGTCATGGCTTAAAGGTATTTTTTTGACCTGCCCTGGACTGATGCGCTCGCCTTCCTGTGTGTCAACTGCATCGTGTGTCAGCTCACCACAGCCCTCAGTGAGCTGTGCCCAAGCTGGCTGTTTCTGTGCTGCCTCATACGCTAGGTGACGAGAAGTGGGCTCCAGAAACCAGGTCCCCATAGTTAAAAAAAAAAACAAAAAAAACCCTCCCAGAGCTCTGCTTGGTGTCTAGCCCAGAATGTGATTGTTAGCCCAGAGAATTGGTGTGGAGCCTGGGATGGGTGCGGCTTCTGCCCTGCGCTGTGGCTGTTCTTAACTGCCACCGTCAGGGGCTGGGACGCGGCTTCTCGAGAGCAGTTTCTCTCGCCGTGGCGGACGGGTAGCTCCAGCCTCTGCGTCAGGACCGGCAGGGCCGTGCTCAGGAAAAGCGCCTCAGGCAGCCCCGGAACCGCGTGGCGGGTGTCACTGGCCGTAGCCGCCTGGGTTTC